ATATATATATATATATATATATATATATATTTATGATATTTGTATTATATAGATATTATACATATAATACACACACACACACACACACACACACACACACACACACACACACACACACACACACACACATACACACATATATATATTATATATATATTTATATATATATATATATATATATATATATTATATATATTATATATATATTATATATATTATATATATATATATATATATATATATATATATATATATATATATATATATATATATATATATATATATATATATATTATACACATACATACATATACAAACACACAAACTTGTAAATTTATATTTATTTTTAATTGTTTAAATATAGATTAAAACTCACAAACATTTGGTCTTATTTTTCTCAACAATCTTTTATACTATTTGAAAAACAATATCTTCTAGTATCGTGTAAAAATATAGCTATCTGAATGTCTATTTCAGTATTCCAAATGTTATTAGAATAAACAGAAAAAGGCAATCAGTTAGCAAATAATTCTTAGTAAGATAGTATAAGCTGCCAAACATAAAGTGACGAATAATTCAATCATTTGGTGCAATTATTTGTCTAGAATTTAATAAACTTTTTAGTAAGATTTTAAGTTCCGTGTAATGTTTTGGGTTAACCAAGATGGCGGCCGTTTTAAATACTGGCTTCAAAAAAGTCACGTGACACCGTCTCCTGTTTATTAAACCTCCTTGATTTAACCAAATTTTTTTGTTTCATCTTTTATTGGAAAACTTGAAATAGAAAAATTGAAAAAAACATCAACCATTTAAATGAAAAACTTAATTATATTTAAACTTTTATTAGTCCTTTATTCAAGAAACAATAAATTATAAAAAACGTGGTATATAATTTTTTATTAAGTTTTTGACGATGTTTTTTGATTTATTGACGATAATTCTCCCCCCACCCCATTCACGCACATCGGCGCAACCTATAAGAGAGAGAGAGGGGGGGGGGGGGGGGTAGAGAGAGCAAAAAAAAAATTTTTTATCGCGATTAGATTTTTTTTTTGTGTTAATTCGAGCCCTGTCTTAGTTTAATTTCTAATAAAATGTCTATTCAACCTTATTAATTTGAACCAAAAAAAAAATAGCAAAATTAACATAAATGTTAATTTAAGTAAAACATTTTACAATAATTATTTTTTTTATCAAGCAAAAATGAGAGTAACCGTCACTTTTGAAACCATAAAAATGACTGAAATAAATTTATATTTGTACTAAGGAAATATTTTAAATAAACTTTTATGTGTCTAAATCAATATTCATTTGTTAAAAACTGACTAAAAAGAGTTTAAAATTTGACTTCTATTCATTTTGGGCCGTGGAATTGCCCTTATAACACAAATATATAAATTAAAATTATAAAAAAAAATTTTAATATACAAATATATTTTCACAAAATGCTACAAAACTTATTCTTGTAAGTAATTGTGTTAGTTGAAAAAAAAAACGACTTTACTTTTAAATTTAATTACCAACTAATAAGTTTGCAATAATGACATTTTGTCTACTTTGTTTATTTTGACGTACAAACGTTAGTTTTTTGAGGCAGTAGAGTCAATAAACTTTGGACAAGACGCATTTTTTTTTTAATCGAAGAAAAGCGTTTTTTTGAAAATTAAATTTGTTAGTGTGTGTTCATTATTACGTTTTAGAAAAAATAATATACATCAAACATTTTTTTTTTAATGCTCTTTTATATGAGATCATATCTTTATAGCACTTTTTTTTTTTTTTTTTTTTTTTATTTTAATTCACCTCCTCAAGGCCGAGAAGGCCACTACAGACGAGGAGGCTACTTATTTGTGGCTATAACCCTCTCTCAACTCTATAACTCCGAAACACGAACCTTGACGAACAAGGCCGCTGCGCGGAGAAACGAGTTGAGGGATCCCTTTAACATTTAAATCTCTTAAAATATTTTTGACATAAAAAATCAGAGTTTAGGGGAGAATGGGTTCAGGTATATCTGATTGCTTGTAACAGGAAGGAAGGGGTAAAGAATTGACAAATATAGGGCGATGTGCTTTATGGATAACTCCCTTTAATTGCATTTATAAATGATTGTTTTACTAAAACAAAAATAAAAAAAGTTTTAACTGATTTTTTTTTGTATTAGGAGAATAGCAAATTATTGTTTTATTTTGTATTTTAATGTCTGAATAAAAATATTTATATAATTCTTATTTTTATTTATGTATATTTATATGTCAATCAAAATAAGAATACATAAACAAATAAAAAAACAATAATATAAAAAATTTTAATTAACATTAAAAAAATCATTTTTTTCTCTAAGTTCTCCTAATACAAAGAGTTTCACTTAGAACTTTGTCAAACCAACACAACAAAATAAGAATTATGTAATGACATAATTCATTTTGTAAACAAAAACTTTATGAAAAAGGGCCAGATCTTTAGTAAATGCATATAGTTTTAACTTAAGTAACACAAATTTAAAATAAAGATGTGTTTTAACTTAGCATCATTATTCAAAACTTTAAATGTAAAAATGTAACAAATAATATTCTCTTGCATATATTATTAAAAAAAGTTTTTTAACTAAAATTTAGAAAAAAACAAAACTTTCTCATGTTTTTGTTAACTTATGTTTCATAAAACTTGCAAAAATCCTTTTGATATATTTTGAAAATATATATTTTATAAATAATAAAATATGACCAACATCAATTTGAACATGTTAGCAAAATTTTCACGCTAAATTATTTCCAATTATGCAAATAAATTCATGGTTAAAATAACATTTTACAACAATTTTAACTTCGCTTTCAACAAGGCTGCAAGCAACCACTAATTAGTGTTGGAAGTTACTAGGAGAGAAAAGATGAAGATTGTAGAGCAAGATAATGATTGACAGACAACTTAAAAGATTGCAAATTATATGAATCAGGAAAGCAAGATGAAGGAAGCAAATTCCAAAGAACTGATGTTCAAGGAAAAACACCAGACGAATAAAAGTTTTTGGAGCACTTAGGAACAGTAACAGAAAAATGAGACTTAATTGAATGACGAGTAACACGAGAATGAATTTTAGTAGATGGCAAAAGAGAAGCTAGCTCTTTAAAACAGTGCCCATTATAGTATTTGTAAGAGAAATAGAAGCAACATTACAACGATGTGACAAAGGTTGAAGGTTGGCTGAAAGAGCAGGTTCAACTATGTTTACCTTGTCTAAAAGAGAAAGAGCATCATTAGAAGATCCACCCCAGATATGGCAACAGTATTCCATACAAGGACGGATTTGAGATTTATAGAGATAGAGAATAGAATCCAGAGTTAGAAAGTGTTGAGCTCGATAAAGATAGGCAACATTAGCAGATGCTAATTTTGCAACGGATTTGATATAAGGTTTCCAAGAAAGATCAGAAGTAAGAGTTAAGCCTAGAAGATGAGGGGTAGATGACTCATCAAGTACATTACCATTCATAAATATAGGAAGGTCTAAATTATTGCAATGATGCAATATTTTAGACCTTTAATGATGATAGGCTGATAAAAAGTTTTATCTGAATTAAAGTTCACCAGCCACTGTGAGCCCCATGCTGTAGCAGAAGTGAAACCCTTTTCAAGTTCAAATACCCCCTGCAAGCAATCAGAGGGAGTTGGCTTCTTATCGTGACAAGAATAAATGGTAGTATCATCAGCGAACAATGCCACTATAGAGGTGAGAATATCTGGAAGATCGTTAATGTAAATTAAAAAGAGTATAGGGCCAAGTATTGAACCTTGAGGAACCCCTGAGGTTACAGAATAAGAAAAATAGTGCTGTCCATCGAGGGCAACTTTTATACTACGATTGGAAAGAAAGGATTCAATAATCTTAAAGATGTTTCCATGTACACCGTAAGAAGAAAGCTTATGGAGAATACCAGCATGCCAAATTTTATCAAACACTTTAGAAATGTCAAGAGCAATGGCCTTAACCTCTCCACCTTTATCTAATGCGCGATAAAACCTATCGGTTATTACTGTTAGCAAATCAGCCGTAGAACGAGAAGATGGAAATCCATATTGATGATTAGAAAGTAAGTTATTAGATTCAAAATGAGAGATAAAGTGTTTGTTAACTAAAGATTCAAAAACTTTGCTTATGATAGGAAGAAGACTAATGGGACGGTAGTTAGACGAATCAGATCGCTCACCAGAATTTTTAAAAATAGGGATAACAGATACTGCTTTCCAGTAGGCTGGAAAACAAGACTCTGATAAGCAAATGTTAAATAGTTTTGAAAAGATAGACAACAGCTCCGGAGAACACTTCTGCAAGACTATAACAGGTATGTTTGGCCGCAAGCTGTAGAAGAGTCTAAGCAGGATATCACTTTAGATATAGTAGCTGGAGTGATAAGGATATCGAGCAATGGATCAACCTGTTTGACGGCTATATTAGGTAGAACGCAACTAGTAGAATCAAGAGATGATATTGATGAAAAGTTTTTAGTAAACAATTCAGCTTTGTCTTAGGTGAGGTGACAAAGTCTGAACCATACAAAAAAGGTGGAATTACAGACTTGCCCTTATTATTGATACAATTAAAGATTCTCCAGAAGTCACAAGAGCCTAATTTTTGAGATGAAATACGAGATTTCATGATCTGAGAAAAGCGGGCTTTGGTGTTAGATAAAACCTTTTTACAATGGTTCGTAGCAGTAATAAACAGAGGTCTGTTTTCTGGAGAATTGTTTTGCTGATAGATATGGAAGTAATGGTTTTGTACATTTCGTTAGGTAATATATATATATATATATATATATATATATATATATATATATATATATATATATATATATATATATATATATATATATAAACCCTCGGAATTAGGAAAAATGAGGTCGGCCGATATATATTTGTGTGTGTGTGTTATGTAAAGACATACAGTGTATATAGATACATTGTAAATGTTAAGATTATACAAAATTTAAATAACATACCGTTTCAGAAATGTTTGGACCTTTCTTTTCAAGTGAAGTACATGGTCCAATGCATCCAGAAATCTTTAACTCCTTAGATGTCTACAATAAATATTGAAAAGTTAAAATATTAAAAAAAAAAAAACTGAAACAATTATTTTAAATAAAAACTTTTTTTTTGATTGATGTGAAATAGTATCTAAGCATTTATATTATTCAAAAAAAAATTATTCTAAAAAACCACTCTTATCAAAACATTTCTGGATGTTTTAATTTTGTAGCTGCAACAAGTTTTTTTAGTTTAATTTTATCAACTTGAAACACTCAAAGTTAAATGATATAATTTAAATTAAAAAAAAAAGCAAACAAACATTTACTTGAATGACAGTTGTTAGTTATTTGAACCTGAAATCACTATACATAATAGTTACAATGTAATATATCATTTACTTTATCGTTTACTTAAATTATTAAACTTGTTTAATACTATTTATATTACAATGTAATATATCATTTACTTTATCGTTTACTTAAATTATTAAACTTGTTTAATACTATTTATATTATAAAATTATTTAATAATAACTATTTACATTATAATATTATTTAATGATAATTATTTATTAAGGTAAAAATTTATTATTAAGGTATTCACTTAAATTATTAAGGTAGTTTATTATTAAGGTATTCACTTAAATTATTAAGGTAGTAATTCACTTAAATTAGAATTACTAATTTCTTATTCTAAAAATAATGAAAAAAAAGAAAGAAGAAAGGTAGCAGTTGGAGAGTTTGCTGCATTAATAAAGCATTTGTGACTTCCTTAATTTTAATGGAAGGGTGTTGTTATATAATAAATACCACTAAAATCAAGTCTTATTTAGAGACCCTATATAGAGAACAAGATAATTATTTTGAAGCTTTCTGAGTGGTAAAAAACAATGGTGGTAATTTTAAAAACATAATAATCATACAGTTAGCTAGCACAACCAAACGTGAATGAATAAAAATAAATCCAATACTCTGAGCGCTTTGATTGCCAAACTAATTGACTCTAACTAGTTTAGATTCAATCTTTAAAGAGTTAGACTTCTAGCTTGTTCCATAAGTCTAAAATATGCACTAGATACCATCTTTTGTAAAGGGCCGCAAAACAATTTTAATTCATTTTGCACAAAAAAAAAAAAATGACATTAAATCAGCCAAGAACCAAGAGGCCATAAATCTATTTTCTGTTATTCTAAGAAAATCTAATTTTTTAAATAATTTTTAAAAGTTCTATCACTCTTGAGACTAGATTTGACACATACTCCATTGTTGAACATTTATTGATAATAAACAGAAAAAACACAAAATGAGGACATAGGGGCTCTTGGTTCTCGGGTGACAATTAGTTAACAACAAAGAAAGTTCCATTAACCATTGAAAACAATTTGAAAATAACTTTTACCTTAACTTCAATGTTTACACCAAATGCCATTTTAAATTCATTCTTCGCATCTTTAGAAAACACTCTTTGAAATGACTGCTTAAAAAGTGCAGTATCAAATGAATCTCCCATAAACATGTAGCCTCTGTTTCAAAAGAAACAAATACAATTAATATGATAAAATATAATAAAAATGGTAGGCAAAATACACTTAAAATCTATCTATTTATTTTAATTGCAATCTTAGAAAATACAAGATTAACAATGACAAAAAATATTATTGAAAAAAAAACAAAAAACTATAACAAAAGTAAATAAAATAAAATGACACTTTTTTTCCATAATACTTTATTGAAGAGATTCATATGTAATAAAATTATGTAATAATTCATACAAGAAAACACGAATTGAAAATACCAGTATAAAAAGGATGCAACTTAATTTTTAAAACTTATTTTACAAAAGAAAAAGAGTTTGACATATTGTAAGTAGCTTAGTATAAAATGTTTGTTGTTAACTTTATTTTTGTATCATTGATACTAAGAACAATATAAAAAATAATCATTCATGAAGTAACCTCAGTTTAACACCTTACAAATTTAAAATTTTTTAAAAGTAATACAAGTTTAAATGTTGTGTTTAATGACATATTGTCTAGATCTATGCACTAAGGCCCAGCTAAATCAACTTTTCAAGACCTGGATTTAACTAAAAGATAAACTTAGATCATATGCGTGGCTAAACTTAACTGAAATACAAATTTTGGCTAAGTGTCCGATGTCGCGAAATATGTCCAGAGCATGCTGTGATATAATCATTTAAAAAGAAATTTAAATAATCATTTTTATATACTAAAACTATTATTTTTAGATTGTAATTAACCATATTTCAAAACATGATGTTTCACACAAGTGAAACAAAGTAATTTTTAATTTATTAAAACATATACGCTTACAAAAAAATAAAACTTAAAGTTAAACTATAAAAACTTAAACTAAAAAAAAAACTTTACTTTAGAAAATAAAAATAAAAACTTAACTAAAGCTAAAACACAATATATATATATATATATATATATATATATATATATATATATATATATATATATATATATATATATATATATATATATATATATATATATATATATATATATATATATATATATATATATATATATACTCTTGCATGGTATTCAGAAAGTTTTTCTCATAAATTGTAGTTTTAAAGAGCGTGTTAATAAACCCGACCAGAAAAAGTTTGAAAAATTAAATAAATTTTTTTTTCTTAAATGATAGACTGCCTGCCCAAACCAAACCCTGGATGTAGCAGCACTCCCTTGCGAGTCAGGCTATTTGTCATTTGATGTAGCAGCACTCCATTGCGAGTCAGGCTATAAGATAGTCGATGTAGCAACACTCTGTTGCGAGTCAGGCTATAAGATAGTCGATGTAGCAACACTCCCTTGTAGCAGCAAGCTATAAGATATTTGATGTAGTAACACTCTGTTGCAAGTCATGCTATTAGATAGTCAATGTAGCAACACTCCCTTGTAGCCACAGGCTATAACATAGTCGATGTAGCAACACTCTGTGCATGTTTTAAAAATATATTTTAACAAAGCAACAACAAAAACACCATTAATTCATAGAAACTTTCTAGTCATTATTATTGCAGTTTTTTTTAAAAACAATAAAATTTAATGTACTTTTGCATTAATTTAATTGCTTTGACATTTCAACGACAATAAAATACAGCTTAAGAGAAAACTCAACAAACTAAAATGCTTAGTTAATTAAAAATGTGTTTTAATAATGTTCGGAATAATTTTTTATCTTTATTAATGTTTATATAATATTATCAGTAACCCTTAAAATAAAAAGAACAATTTAAAAAAATCAGTTTACATGCAAATGTAATACTCAACTCGTTTCTCCGCGCAGCGGCCTTGTTTGTCAAATTTCGTGTTTTGGAGTTATAGAGTTGAGAGAGGGTTATAGCCACAAAAAAGTAGCCTCCTCGACTGTAGTGACCTTCTCAGCCTTGAGGAGGTGAATTAACAAAAAAAAAAAAAAAAAAAAAAAAAGTTAACTAGTAAATAATTACGCATTAAAAAACCATTTCATTCTTTGTTTTAATTTTTTTCTCAAATTTGATTTAAAAGATTTACATTTATAATAAAAAATTAATAATTATATAAATAAAAAAAATAAAAAAACAGTTTATTAATTCATAATATAAAAATTCATTAGAAGTGTTTTGTTACATCATTAAAAAGTGTTTTAAAAAGCAAACTTTTTTAAAAGCATTTAAGATCAAACTTAATTGTAACGGCTTTCAAAAAAAAAAAAAAATCTTTTTTTTTAAAGGAATTTTTTTTATCTTAATAAATGTATAATCTTATTTTTTTATCTAAAAAATGTATAATCTTAATGATTATTTTAAAATTTGTTAAAGAGACTTTCGTTGTCTTAGAAAGTCATCATTTATAAAAACAAAATAATTTTTTATTTTATAATAACGATTATTTTAAAAAACACATACCTAAATAGTTCATATAATATGAATTTTAAAAATTATATACAAATGCCAATAATATTTAAAAAAAAACTCATTATCAGTAAATTGTTACTTTATTTAAAAGCATTTCTCTAATATAAAAACGTTTGTTAAGAAGTTTTCAATGTAATTTATTTCACCTAAGGAGTAATTCTGAATATATTTCATTCAGCTCGCTTTTTGAAATGTTTTTTGAAATAGCTGCAGTCAAATCATCAAAGCAAAATGTGATTTGCCTGGCCCTATGACATAACTTGCCAGGTGACGCAATTTGCCTGGTCATAGTGACGCCCGATTGCAAGTCTTTCTGTGAAACACTGAATTTGTGTTAAAAAAAATATCTTTACAACTCTTAATATTTTTGGACAAACATGAACAAAAGAACATTAACAACATTCATTGAAAAATTTCAAATTTATTACTTTTATAAATGAAAAAGATTGTGAAGAATTTTATATTAATCACTTTTTTTTTTACTTTTATAATTATTTGAATACAATAAATAAGCGATGGATAGACTTTGTGCTTAAAGAAGACTGTTTGGTTATTGACTCGTAAGACAAATATATTTCTAATGTTGTTTTTTTTGTTGTTTTTTTAATTACTGAATTATGTTACTAAGTCCAAGGAACTTTTGTTAAAATTTTAGTTAAAAAGACTAAGACTAAAAAGACTACTATTTTCTAAGTCCAAGGAACTTTAGTTAAAACTATTTTCTTTTCTTTTTATAGTGATTCCAACCCTCTATAAACTCTTTAACTCTGAAACATGAATCTTGACAAACAAAGATGCTATGCAGATAAACAGGTTGATATACATGAAATATGTAATATATTTTTTAATTATTCTTTTTTTTTGATTAAAAGAAATTAATAAGTTTAGAATTTAACTGTTAAATGAAAAGGAAAGTTAAATGAAATTTTGCAGTTGTGACCAATTTTAACCGAAAGCCGCATTTCTAGTTCAAATTTCACACTGAAGACAACTTGGCTTTTTGATGAACTCCATGCGGCAGTGGTGCAGTGGTAGAGCGCTCGCTTTATAAGCAAGAGGTTCCCCCACCATGTCCCTGGTAGTACTGTGCTCAACTTGTTTCTCCGCGCAGCGGCCTTGTTCATCAAGGTTTGTGTTTCA